GTCGCCGTGCCTACCATGGCGACCATGGGTGACGGAGAATCAGGGTTCGATTAATAAGTGCCTCAAATTCTCTTCACTTTCAGCAAGTAAGGTTGTTCATGCGTCTTCATCTATCCTCACTCTGAGTTTTTCTTTGTATAGTTCAGTTTCTTGAATTAAATAAGACAGATTAAGTACGTATGATGGAAGGATACAACCCTATCTCACCCCTTTGCTGATTGTAACACATGCCAGGTCCCCTTGCTCTGTTCAAATAAGTGTCTCTTGGTCTAGGTACAGATTTCCCATGAGCACAATTGACTTCTGGATTTCTTGTCCATTACAATGTTAATCCTCATTTGTTATCATCCACACAATGAATGCTTTTGTAGAATCAATAAAATACATGTATACATCTGTCTGGTGTTCTGAGCTTTCAAGCACGACCTACCAAGTGGAGCAATGGCTTCCCTGGCCCTATTTTCTCTTCTGAATCAGAATTTCTGGCAGTTCCCGTCTGTGTGCTGATGCAACCGTTTTTTGTTTTGTTTTGTTTTTATCTTTACTTGAGTATAGTATTAATTTTCTGCATTCTGTTGGATCATCTATCTTTAGAATGAGCATGATGAAGACGATCCCTTCCAGTTGCTTGTCCATATTTCATGACATAGACGAGTGAGAGCTTGCAACACGGCATCCATTCAGAGAGACGTCTCAGTTCATAGTCCGTCAGTTCCTGGATCCTTATTTTTTGCCATTGACTTCAGTGAATCTTGGATTTCACTTCATTAATTCTTGGTCATATACTATTCCTACTTGATCGTTGACCAATTTTTTTGGGGGCGGGGCGTAGAGTGAATCTGGTTTTTGCATTTTCTCTTGAAGGTTCCTCCTTGTGTTGTTGTTTTATGACATAGAATTTGTTCCAATCACAGTGACCTTATATGCAACAGAAGAAAACATTTTGTCCATCTGTGTTCCAATTTTTATGGGCGCTTACAACTGTTTCTTCTCATTTGAAGTCATGCCACATCGAACCAGTGCCATAAACGATGCACTCTTGTAGGTCATTAGACCAACTCCACCTTGAGGAAGCCATTCTTCCACAGTCTTAATTTGAGGGCCTACAACTTGAGGGGCTCTTCTTCTGGCTCCAGATTAGACAACGTTTTGCCACTATTGGTATAGTTTTCATGGAATCAACTTTGAAAGAAGTACACAGCCAGCTCCTTCTGGCTCTGGTAGCTCTACAGAAACCTGTCCACCTTCTGTGACCCTGCGGACGTTTTGAGTATCAGTCGCTTAGCTTTCAGCATCACAGCACCACTCAAGCCACCCGAGGGAAACAAGCCGACAGAGGATTGGTAGGCCTGCCCTGCAAGTTAGGCTAAAAGAACATTTCAAACTGAAGGGAAATTTCTGTAGGAATTTCCATAGGAAATTCTAGCCTATCAGAAAGAATAAATAGCAGTGGAAATGTGGGCTATGTATAACAATCATATTTAATTCATTTATTGTGGTAAGTTATATTTAATAAAATACCACTTCAATCATTTACATGTATAATTCTGTAACATTCATTAGTTAGTTATGTGTATAATCACCATTACCCATTTACACATATTTTCATCAGCCTTACCAGAAACACAGTATTCCTTAAGCAGTACCTCTTCATTCCCGCTTTCCACCTGTCCCTGATAGCCTTGAATAAACTTGCTCTTCATAAATGTGCCTATTCAAGATAGTTCATATCAGTGGGAACATACACTATTTGTCCTTTGGATCTGATGTATGGCCTTCAGCATAAGCTTTCCCGGTTTTATCCATGTGTCAGAACTTCCTTTCTTTCATCCCTGCATACTATTCCATTGTATTTATGTAGCACGTTTCGCTTATTAATAAATCATTTTGTTAGGGCTCTTACATATATTATAACATTTTTTTCTTATTCTAAAATTTTCAAGGGACAACTAACTGGCAAAGATGATAGCTTGTATGATGGGGTTTGTAATGTACACTAGGTGGATAGCTATCATTAAACGCTGTTCAGCTTTCACATGCATATGGGGTGATTGAGAACGCCATGCGTGGGTCAAGCACACCTAGTCCTCAGAGTGACAGCTTTTCTCGTTAACACTCCAAAGAACTCTTGTGTGCAGATGTTTCCCAACTCAGTATGTCTTTGATTTCTTTTTTTTAATTTCCATATTTATTTATTTTTAAAATCATTTTATTGGGGGCTTATCTAACTCTTATCACAATCTATACATGCATCCATTGTGTTAAGCACATTAGTACATTTGTTGCC